TCTTGGAAAAAATGTATTGCATTTATGATATATAATGGTGCTGCAGCATTCCAAGGAGCAACATTGCTTCTTTCAACTTCACCTCCTGCTGCTAGACATGTTGTTAGTGCTGCTTTTGACCAGCAACGACACAGTAAACAGCTGGTGAGGACATCACTGTAATTTTTGTCTGTTATCTCAAACATCTACAGGTTTATGCCTTTAGAAATTACTTAATGTAAACTTATATCCTAATCTACAACCATGAGTTTTTTCTCCCAAAAAAAAAAAAAAAAAGATTAACCCAGGAAACATCATCTGCATAAATACAACAGTGTGATATTTCATAACTGAGATAGGTTATTAAATGGAAAACACAGGCTGCATTGCATGCTCTGGGCAACATTGCTGGTGAAATACGTACAGAAAATATGGTGTTGAACGGCAATGCAGAAGAAAACCTTAAACGCATGATCTACGAAAAAGCATCTAACACGTCAAAGTTGACACCATCGGTAAGTCAATTAATTTCAAGCTCCTGCAGTTACATTGATGTAATTTGTTTCTGTTCACTAATTGCCAGTTAGTTACATTTTGCTTACGTCTCTTCAGTGCGATTCTTGTAATTAATATCTTGAACTTGATAAAAAACATTCTAAGATCGGGACAAAATGGATTGAATAAATAGATAAAGCTTACCCTATATGCTCCCATATTATATTATGGATTTCTGCTGTCTGAATTTGTAATACTAGTTTTAATGCTGGGCTTCCTAGTTCTTTATATAGTTGGCTGTCATTGCTGTAAAGTACAGGTTTCGTGATTTATTTGATTATTTATATGATTGCAACTGTTACTCATTGCATTACGGATACATATTGCAGGGCCTTCTCCTATCAGTTCTACAACAGGATTCAGAAATTCGTCTAGCGGTGAAAATATAGAACTCTTCTTTTTATAACCTTTGGTGTCTTGATTGCTTGCAATCTTTAATATCACACGTAGTTATCTTGGTCATCAAATCAAACTGAGAGATGCAATCAATGGTGAATATTTCATCATGTGCAATTGCTCATAGTTTCTCCTTTAATGGAAACAAATCATGAATCATTGCCACCTTCCTGTTATTGTACATAAGTTGGCTAAAACAGAAACTTTAGGGAAAGGTTAACCCTTGGGGTGAATAAAAGAACACAATAAGAAAAGTCTCTGTTGGTCTATGCATGCTAAAGCAACCCTACCTTGTCAAAAGCTGTATGAAGGTTTAGATATACTGCATCTTGAATTAACAGTTCCTTTAATCATGGTGAGTTGTCACGTCTCATCTTTTGATTACAGGGATATAGATTGATTACTGGATTGGTGGCTCGACCTTGGTGTCTGATGGAGATAGTCTCAAGACAGGAAATAATTGATATAGTGACTGACACCTTTACAGAAACGAAAAAGATAGGTCGGTATCGTTTTCACTTTCTCCTTCACATCGAAAGCTGAGAGTTTTTGCTGTCATCGCATCATCATTTTTCTATTATACTTTCAGTTTATTTCTCTGTTTCTGAATAGCTTACAGAATTATACAACATAGAATTGGTCTTGGCAACAGATAATGCCCATCCATGAAGTTCTTGTTATAGTTGGGGCATATTTGTTTGTAGAGACAACTCTTGTCAAATAATCAAACTTGTTTTCAAGTTTTGCATGTGGTATATTTAAAAGATGTTATAACTCCTGGTTGCATGCTTAATAAGTCATGGTTCAAAGCGACAAATGTTGCTGCAATCATGAGGTCTCAGGTTAAAGTCCCAACACTAGTGAGTTCCTATGTATCATTAGTTATCTGTCTCTTGTGTGTTTATATGTTGAGGAAATATTAAGATCTTATTTTTGGCCAGATCTTAATAGTTGGCAACAAATTTTCAGGCATGGAAGCTAGACATAAATGTTGTGAAGCAATTTACAAGGCTCTCACACCATCAACTAAGCTAATCAGTGACCCTGCCTTCACTGGGATTGCTGCAAAGGTGTGGTTTCATTTTTAGGGAATGCTTCAGTTTTTCTTTTTTTCTGTATTTCTTGTCATTATTTGCTACAAAAGTCGACTCAACTGAGCCCGTAGCATTCCATCTGTATTTGGCAGACATTTTAGATTGGACTGTGCACATAATTTGTTTTAGCAGGATTTTTTGAAGTAGGAATCCGTAGAATTTGAGATCATGATATAGGCTGAAGTGAGTAGTTCAAAGTTTCCTCAGATGTCCATCTTTCAAGCCAGAATGAAATTCTTCTATTTAGTTAAGATTTGATTCACATATTATGGAAAGAAAGTTCGTAGAACTGCTCATCAATGAGCATTGGTTTTGAAAATAAGTTCCAAATTCCAATATTATGTGCGTCAAGAGGATAGTGATAACATGGTTATGAAGTTGAACTGTAAGAGAAACAAAGAAATTTAGATGAAAATAGGGGAAATCATACTATTCATCCTCAACCTATGGGCCTTCGTTGCAATTTCTTCCCTATGGGTGTGGACACCCTGGACATAAAATTATGTACATCAAGTACAACCCTTACTGAAAAGACAATTTATCACTTTAAAGGCCCTGTATGGTGCAGATTTTTTTGAACTCATTTTTTCTCAAAACTCATTTTCAACTACATATTTTCCTATGTAAAATAATTTTGCTTGTGGACTAATAAATTTTTCCTACTTTTTAACTTCACATTCTCAAAAAATATCACAAAATCTATTCCAGAAAAATCTACATCAAACGTGCCCCAAGTTAAAATATATAAAATAGAAGGTTAAAGGAGAAGAAAAGAAAGAAAAAAGGAAATAGAGGTACATCATCGTTAATGGAGATACATTTGAACTCCCAACAGTAAATAAGATTCAATTTATCAGGCTATTGAATTTGTAACTACATGTTTTCAAGTACTTATAGACTTTATAATAACCACGTTCCCTTTTCTTTTGCTGCAGACTTGATACTTTTTTTTTTTTTTTTTTTTTGTTTTTGAAAATTTCTGCAGCTACAGGGAGCAATCAAAAGGGGTCCTTACCTTGCGAGGAAGCACACTGAAGCTCAACCTGTGGTAATGACAGCTGATAGATTTTGATTTGGCTTCAATAGGGGCAGTCACACTTGTTTTAGACTTGCCTCTGGAGTTTGAAAGTGTAGATATTATGGACAAAGATCTTGAATACTGATCCGACCTACATACTACCTTAACTTCTTTAATCAAGGAAACTAATAGCGTTGTGTCTGTAATATCTCGTGTGAGTGGATCTTTGCGTCCCATGAGAAGGATGATATCTTTTGACTTCTTGAGAAATACGTTTTGAGTGTTTTCTTTGGAAGGTAATATTAACTTTAATTTAGGATGTCTTGATATGGGGTTTATTGAACTTAATTAGTCTTGCTCATCATAGGATATTCTGTGAAATTTGTCTTCGATTCGAGCTTTTTGCCAAGGATGCTTTCACTCCTTAGTTGCTAAGCTTTTAGGTTCTGCATAATAGCTGCTTTTGATTCAGTACTGTGATAAAAATTAAGGTTTGGTTCAAAAAATAAGCAAAATGAAGATTTTTCACTTAAGGAGTTGTTACCAATTTAAGTGACAGTAAACTCCACGATTCATCACTAGGCTAGAAGGTGCGCCGTCACCTGGATTAGTGATACACCATTTGCTTTACACCAATAGGTACTAGTTCTTGAAGTCTTGATACATGCATTTGAATTTGAAGATACGACTTTTGGAGTGACTTAGAAGACAATCTTGAGGGATTATTTGTTTTCGAACCCAAAATTGTAAATTAAAACTTGTAAGATTGAACTTTAACAATATAATTTTACATTTTTGTGCCGTTGGGTTATTTTATTCTACCTCTAAATTAGCTAATATGAAATTATGAAATGTTGGGTATGAGCATCTCTAAGAGACTTTTAAACATGACGTTATCTATTTTAAAAAGTTAAATCTTTAAAATTATGTTAAAAAGTACTCTTTAAATTAATATTTTAATTTAGAGTGGAGAGCCATATTTACTATATAATTAAATGTATTTAAGTGTTTCATCTTCAATGTAAAAAAATAAATTAATAATAATAATTTAAAGAAGCGTTAGTTAAGATAAAAGATAAAGAAAAATAATACTATTTTTTGAGAGTTGTAAAATTAAGTATTAAATATAAAGAGCTTATTAAAGTACTTCAAAATTTTATGTGTCTAAATTTATGAATGTTTTTCAAATGATAGAATATACTCTTTAAAAATAGTCTTTTAGAGATACTATAACAAAATCAAAATTATAGTACTTTTAAGAAAAATTTATATAAAACTATTTTCTATGAAATTACCTCTCAAAAGGTGATAGGCTTTCAAAAAGCGTCTATATCTTTAAGAAAACTTGTTACTCCTTTTAACCTATTAACTTCCCAAGCAAGCTCGAAGCCTAGATGATTTATTTAATTGTCAATTTTCATCTTATAATTCTCTATACCTCCATCTCCCTCTCATGTTGCTCTCGAACACCCAACACCACCTTCTTAATCTAGAGTAATTAGTGTCAACTCGTTCAAAAACAATTTCTTATAGAATTACATGCAAATTAGACATGCCTCGTAGGATTTTATTGTGTACATGTAATTAATAAAATAAAGAGCCGTGATGTTTGCACAGCTCGACATACAGCACTGCTTACAGTCCCCTCACATGAGGGGCCTACACTATTAAAAAATGGTGCGGTCCCACAATACAGTGACGGAGCTGTACATGTACAGCACTTTTTGGTGCTGTGCAAACAGCTTCTTTCTAAAATAAAAGAGCGTGTCAAGAAATAAGAAGTTTCAACAAACCGCCAAATCGTTTCGTTCCCATTTAGTGCCATTTATGTCAATTTTCGAAGAGAAAAAGGAAATCCTTGTTATGGGCCTGCTAGCCTCTCTGCTCGGAAGCCCAATTAATAAATCTATACAACGTTACATCACGTCAAAATATATTCTTGGGATTAGCATATTCTGGCCCGTTAATGGCGGTGGCCTGAGATACTTATCCAAATTTCTCTTCCATTCCATACCCACGACAAAAATTAAAAAATTGTCTTAATCTGCTTAATTAATTTACATCAATTATCGGTATAATTTTGTGTGTGTGATTTCGGCTCAAGCAAATCCCTCTGTGTGTGTGTGTGTGTGTGAAAGAGAGAGAGATGGGAAGGGTATTTGTGGTGGATCTTGAAGGCAGGACGTACAAATGCAAATTCTGTAAAACCCCTTTAGCTCTTGCTGATGAACTTGTTTCCAAGGTACTTTATTTTGTTACTTCCTGGGAAACTTTTGCTCGTCCAATTTTTGTGTTTTTGGATCTGAACCTGATTTTCTTTATATGGGATCGTTTGAATTGTTGCACGATGTTGAATCCTTTTTATGTTCGGGTAGATAATTGGATAATTTATATTGATCTTTTAGCTTGTCTTAATTGTATGAGATTTTCTTTCTTTTTTTTTTTTTGGTTTTAGACTATCCTTTTGGAATATTGATTTTGTGCTTCGTCGCTTGTTCAGGGATTTCACTGCCGCAGGGGGAAGGCATACCTCTTTAACAATGCGTAAGCTTCTCGCTGCTTGTCTGAAATTCATTTTGACCGGCGAAATGAACTTTATTGCGAGAGAATTTATTCATGGAGTAAATATAGATGGCTTGATTGATTTTCTGAATTTGATAATCTTCCTTTGTTCCATTGAGTAATTGAGCTTCTCATATGACTTTTTAGCTCTGCAAAGATTACTTACGGCCAAGGCATTAGACCTAGTAATAGAAGAGCAATCGCTTATCATATGTGGCTATTGACAAAGTTCAAGTTCCATATGTCTTACCGTGAAGCACACAAATGTTGCAGCCATTTTGATAAGATTAAGAAACCTTCTATGTGTTGCTAGTTTAATTTTTCTAGCAGAATGGTGATGTAGATGTAGATGCAATTTCAGGTTGTCATCTTCCACGTTGATTTTTCTGCCAGAAAACACTCGGATTTTATTTGAATGACCAAACTTTAGTGACCGTGTTGGAACAAACTAAAGTTCGGTAACTAACACGAAACTTTGCTATGAGTTGAGGGACTGATAGTGTCTACTGGTTTGTGCTCAGAGTAAACATCACAGTAGGAACTCTAGAGGAGAGATCGATGCTTTCTGGAATGCATACTGTGGCCGATATATTTTGCTGCTGTTGTGGACAAATAGTGGGCTGGAAATATGTAATCTCTCACACCAATTGGTTTCATTTTCATTTAGACTTCTTTTAGTTGTCTATGAGTTCAATTTATCTATATTTATTCCATTTTATGCTTCCAGGAGGCAGCGCATGAGAGGAGCCAGAAATATAAAGAAGGAAAATTTGTTCTTGAAAGGTAATTTTTTCACTCTTTTCTTTACTTATCCCATAAGCTTCTTTCTTCTTAAAATTTCATTTATATTCCTAATGACAAAAATGTTAACATGTAAAATTTTGCCGCAACAGAGGAAGGATTGTTGATGGATTCGATTCTGAATTCTATATCGATACTCATCCAACTATGAGTGATGCGGAAGATGCATAGAATTTATCATCCTTCTAGATGATAATAAATGTTACTTGATGCTGTCGAGAGATGGCATGTGCATGTAGATTAAAACTATGAAACTACTGCTGAACAGTTTTTTGTGCTTGTATCTGATGGATAAGAGGTTAGCATTATCAGTACTTCATATTTATAATTAATTAGATCATGTTTTAAGGATCATTTGGTTATTATCTTTCTCTGGTATAAGAAATAATACAGAAATTATCAGCCGATCGCATCTACGGGTCTTCTCATCCAAATGCCAAGAGTGGTCGACTATCCTGGTAGTTGATTGATGGAGTTAAGATTGATATATCTTGGCTGCAGGACGACTATCTTTTGCAGTAGTCACTTATACTCGGTCACATTAACTCGAACATATCAATGCCATAAGAGGACAAATGTTATTATACAGAGATAGAAAAGTAAATATCACAGGACGTGGCATCCAATCCACCATTCTAAAACAAAGCTAATAATGGACAAGAAGTTTCAATTACGAGGAACTTAATCATGTCTGAATAGCATGAAATTCCATGGTTCAAATGGATATCCCAAATACTCCTTGCAATTTGATGACAGAAGAGAGCAAGCACATCTTAGAGAGACATCCAGGCGATCTTATAACTTTTCTTCTCAGAGAAATCCATTAAGCTACCTGGACTTGTTTTCCTTGAATCCTCTGTGGTTTGAGCCCTCTTTACGAGTCTTGAAGAGCTCTTCCTACGCCGCTGGTTGTGGCCTGCTAGACGCATGCGGCAACTCCTCTTTGTCTGATCGAATTCTGAGACCTCTTGAAATCTTAATACCAAAGAAAAGTACAATTCAGTGGATAGGTTAGAGAAGCGTCTGTATTATGGTAGAGAACAATCCTCACTTGAACCTTGAAGATATATCTTATATTACGGTAAAGATCCGGTTCCGGTGAAAGATGAGTATAAGCACATCTATATTGTGATTAGTGTGTTCAACAAGATCAAGAAAGTCGAGCTCGGGTACACGAAATGAAGACCTTTGAGAATAATTATTGGACCAGGAGGAAATGATTCTCGTATATTGCTCGACCGAACTCTTCCTGACTCCGTTTTTACTGTTTATTGTAGAGTATAATCATAATGTAAGACCTATAGTATAGGAAGGGGAGAGAAATTTTCTACCAGAATATAAACTTACGGTGACTATTCTTTGACCGATGATGCATAGAACTATAATCGTACACTGTACACTGACAAGAGTGTTAAATGCTAGTATAAATGCCGGAGGTTTCCAAATTGCAGTAGGAATAACCACTAAAAAACTCATAGTCAGCATTTTGCATGAACTAAACAATTTTTTTGCTTTCAAACATGATTATATAGCTTAATTATCCTGCTGATAGGAAGAAGGAAGTTACTTTGACTAAGTCTCTTGTTCCTTTCAATATAAGTAACTTATTTCAAACATTGATCAATAAAAAATATTGTCGAAATTTACCTATCAAAAAAATTATTGTCGAATTTTACATGTTTAAGAATTTCTGTTAGATTTTGGTCAAACCTGCTGCATTGCTGACAGAATCTCTGCCTGACCCCTGAAACTATGACTTCAGGAGCCTTGGAATGCACCTCACAGACTTTGTGCCTCTGATAATACTTCTTGCAAGCTCTCAGATCAACCTCACACTTGTCCACCGCACAACACGGCGGAGCCACTTCACCACCGGCCCGAGCACTCATTCCAGAACCACCACCACCAAGATCCAATCTTTTCTTCTTCAAATTACTCTCATTCTCCACCATTTCATCCTCTTCTGCCATTTCTTCTTCTTCCTCAAACCCATTTTCTTTATCTTCCAACATTTTCTTGATTTTCATGATTGAATTGATGACTGCAAAGAGATGGCAAGTTGTAATAATGAAGCTCAACGCATGCTGAGAAAAGGTAGGAAGAAAAGCAAGAAAAAAGTACATTTTGTGATGAAAAGAGTATAAGGCTTGCGAGGACCACAAGGGCCGTAACCTCCCCACCAAACTCTTAAATCTATATGTGTGTGTACAGTGCATAAGTACATACAAATTCAACGCACTTTTAGCAGGTAATGAAATTGTAATAATTTAACACCAATTAAAGTTGGTATACTTCCCTTTCAGGGAAATGGAGTATATAGGTTATCTGGTGGTCCTAAACATATGGCTGATATTACACACAAATAATTATAACGACAAATAGAGTAAAATTAAAACGAATGTTTTAAAGACCGAATTTTATTGACCTTTGTATCTGGTTGAGACTCAGCACGTTAATAGATCTCTGTGTCTCTCCTTTACGTGTATGTTAACCGTACATTTAGACGCTCACACATTAAAGGCGCAGATCAAGACTTTTCCAAACAAGGGCACGTGTAATATTCCACCCTGTACCCTTGGAGGCATAACCTGCGATTTACCTCTCTCACGATACTCCAGGACAGGGGCGGTGGGAGACCCTTAAGGTTGGGGTTCAACCTTTAAGGGTGCGTGTAATATTATGCTCGTTAAGATCCTTTAACAGGTTTTTTACGACATTAATTTAAAAATGAAAGTATAGTGACAAAATATATATTTAGAAGATAAATTAATACTCGTTGCTTAGCACATTTTGTCCTGTTGGTTACTCAAACAATGAGAAAAAAGGGGGCCCTAAATTTCAGCAAGGCGCATTACCTACGCCGATCGCGTTACTTCGTACACAACACACACATAAAGCCCCATAAATCACCATCCAAACATACAATCTCCCTCCAATCAAGAATCCAAAAAAGGAAATTTTAAAGTACTTACGAAGATATTTGTTCAATCAATGACTTGTTCTGTTTGGCTAGTTTTTGTCGTCTTTGTCGGTGTGGCCATGGCCGTGATGGCGCAGTCGTCAATGGGCGATGACATGATGCTCGATGCCTTCTCTGTGCGTGGCCATGTGGGTAGCTCTTTTTTAGGGGAGCTGGATATGAATCAAGTATTGCAGATGGAAGCTGAATCAGGTCGAAGAAAATTGAACCAACGAAGGAAGTACATTAGTTATAGCGCAATAGACATGAACAATGTTCCATGCGGTCGACGTGGACATTCTTACTATGATTGTAATGCTCATCACCCGGCAAATCCCTACCGTCGTGGATGCACCAAAGCGACGAGGTGTGCTAGGACATATTAGAGATAAATTTGATTAATCTTATGTTGTATTCTAGTGTAGTTGGGGATTCGTGAGATACATAGAGATACAATGTAGCTAATTAGATGTGATGTAGCATAATTGTTTGTGAATGTGTAATAGAAAGGAGTTTAGTTAGAACATTAGACTCTGTATAAATTTACAGTCAGTTTCTTATTATTGTATAATGTGATAAATTGATAATTGTAGGTGGTTTGCTATTAAGTATAAATGAAATAGAATAAACTTATTATCAGTTGATTATAAAAAAATTGAGGTCCTTTCGAAGATCTCTATACCAAATAATTATTAGCAATTCTTCTTTTTCAGTTTTATTTCTATCAATGATGTACCAAATTATGAAAATAAATTAATTGGATTAATCTGATTTTTGATTGCAGGGTTTTCTAGATATAAGGTTTTAATAATAAAATTCAGTTGTAAGATATTATTATACTTTTATACATTCTCATATAAGATAGCAAACCCAAGAAAAAGTGCTACTATTTAAGTTAAAACTAATGAGTAAATAATGAAAAAAATGCTATCATTAAAATTAAACAGGTGAGTGAATTGAATTTCATACAATATATATACACTAAACCGTACAAATCTTCATTTAGCAACAAATAGCCTTCAAACTAGGGGCGTAAACGATTCGATTTTACCGTTTTTTGATAGATTTTCAAACCAAATCATTTAAATCGGTTTGAGAAAAATTCAAACTTAAACCAAACCATTTAGAACAGTTTGAAAAAAACTCAAACCTAAACCTAACGGTCATGTCTGGTTTTAAACCGTTGGTTTCGACGTATATTTTTTTGTCTGTCTACTTTTACGCCATAATTCATTGAATCCAATATATATTTATATCTTATTAGCAATAAATCTAAAACAAACTAAATATATTTACTATAAATCTAAATACCAATTAAATCAAAGTGAAATCACAATAAAGTAAAACATAGTTTTTTGTTCGTCATTTTTAAGCTAATGAAGTTACGATAACGTTACAATAAAATTCTACTAAACAATATAAGGCCAAAACATTAATGATATCTGTTGACCTCGCATATTGGACCTCCCACGTGGTCAACCGATAGCTACTCCACATGATCCTCCTTACGCACAATCAACGCACGGTTAGATGCACACGGTCGGAACCAGCGTGGGCGACGACCGCCGCATACACTTCGACGGTCAAGTTAGTATCCGGTAATCCGAATAGTGCCCGAGTTGTGCAAGAGAGTGGAGAGGAGAATATATATTTTCTTGTTATGGAGAGTTAGGTTGTAAGAGTTTCATTACATTTAACTCTCATCAAACCTTGGGTATTTATAGGTAAGAAGAACCGTTGGATGTGGGACACGTGTATGCATCTGACGGTGTGAGGCATCTGTTCATAGGCGTCAATCAATCGCGTCTATAGAGTGGGCGGGTAATAACTTCTCTTGAGTTGAGTTGACATAAAGTTGATACGTCACATCAACTAGACCCATGGAGACGTCAAATCAATTAAACCTTAGGGGCGGAGAGGATCTTGACACAGATCTCATTCTGAAAGCGGCGGCGGATCCGCTAAAGGAGAACCTTGGAGTGCATTGCGCTTCGGCGTCAAGGAGACTTCGGTCGGTTCAGTAGAATTGTTTTGTGCCTCGCAGCGCGTTAGCAGCGTGCGGACATGGGTGGTAGAGTCACTTCGGAACCACTTCGGATTGGTGGTGGACACCTCGTATGATGCAGTGGTAGACTTTCCGAAGTAGTTCAGCTAAGGGCGTAACAGTGGTCTTCCCAAGTTCAGGCATGAATATTTATATCATGGGTGAACTTGTTTTCCCGATCAAGTATGTCTGCCTTGGTTTGTGATAGAGAACTGTCGTGGAAGCGTGAAGCGTGTAGATGGCCTGAAAGCTTGTGGATCGATTTTTTGTGTTCATCGAAGAGATGTGGGCAGGTGCTCATCTTCTCCCGAGGCGCTGGCCTTAGGGGACGGTGCGTTGGGAAAAGGCCAAAGCCTTGTGAAGCTTAGGCTCAGGATACATCTCTGACCGAGGCGCTGACCTACAGAGACGACACGTGGGAGATGCTGAAGCTTGTGAATCTGAAGATCGGGACACATCTTCAACTGAGGCGCTAAAGCTTCAGTGCTGCCTAAGGAAGGAGCTCATTCGCCACCAATGCGCTGACCCACATGGACGACGCATTGGGAGACGGCTAAAGTTTTGTAAGCTTAGAAGGGAACGCATCTACCGAGACGATGACACACAGGGGACTCTGCGTCAGGAGCGCCTAAGCTTTGTAAGCTGAGTGGGGAGCTCATCTACCATTGGTGTGCTTACCCATAGGGGACGATGCGTTGGGAGATGACTAAAACTTTGTAAAGCTTAGGAGGGAATGCAGCCATCGAGGCGATGACCTAAACGGGACTTCGCATCAGGTGCGTCTAAACTTTGTACAGTTGAGTGAGGAGCTCATTTGCGACCGATGCGGGAGATGGCTAAAGCTTTGTAAAGCTTAGGAGGGAACGCAGCTATCAAGGTGATGACCCACAGGGGACTCCGCGTCAGGTACGTCTAAGTTTTGTAAAGTTGAGTGAGGAGCTCATTTGCGACCAATGCAAGAGATGGCTAAAGCTTTGTAAAGCTTAGGAGAAAATGCAGCTCTCAAGGCGATGACCCACAGGGGACTCCACGTTAGGTGTGTCTAAACTTTGTAAAGTTAAGTAAGGAGCTCATCTGCGATCGATGCGGGAGATGGCTAAAGCTTTGTAAAGCTTAGGAGGGAACGCAACTACCGAGGTGATGACCCACAGGGGACTACGCCTCAAGTGCGTCTAAGTTTTGTAAAGTTGAGTAAGGAGCTCATTTGCGACCGATGCGGGAGATGGTTAAAGTTATGTAAAACTTAGGAGGAAACGCAGCTATCAAGGCGATGACCCACAGGGGACGCCGCGTCAGGTGCGTCTAAGTTTTGTAAAGCTAAGTGAGGAGCTCATCTGCCAACGGTGCGCTGACCCATAGCGGACGACGCGTTGAGAGACGGCTAAAGCTTGTTGACTTCGTCTTTGAGCGCCTCGTACTGCTTCGGGTTGAGGGCTCGTCTTTTCTGTCGATGTAGGGCACATGAGGAGTTGATGTTAAGGTCTTGGGTCTGTTCCCACCATGTCTTCGTGCTTCCAAGCGAAAACATCCAAGTTCATTTTCAGGAAGCTTATCATTTCTTCTTTCGCTTCGGGGAACAGTGTCTTTCCAATTCGCAAGACCTGACTGGGGTTCTCTGGGTTGATGGAGAAAGTTTCAAATTCTTCCATTGGGGCGCATTCGGTTCTGAGTCAGTTGTTCGGGGGTCTAACTCATCAAGAGGGTGCCCTTGTTCAGGGGCCTTTTCCATGTCGACGTCTTCATCCTGTTCAGAGGTATGCCCTTGTTCAGGGGCGTCGAGCATTTTCACGTCCAAGTCAGCCTCGTTCGCAACCTCTGTTATGATCACGTTAACAATGCGGGGCTCTGATTTTCGTAGAGAGTTTAGGTAACAAGTTCTGGAGCCCATCTGGTCGCCTCGGACCGTAGCAATTCCATGCTCAGTTGGGAACTTCATACACAAGTAATGGATGGAGGTGACAGCCCAAAGATCTTTCAAGGCGGGTATGCTCAATACTCCGTGGTAGGCTAATCTGTGGTCTACTACCAAGAATTCTATGAAATGTTGGGCCACTAGGAGAGCTGAACCCATCTCGACGGGCAGAGTAATTCGTCCTCGTGGGACGATGTTGTCTCCAGCAAATCCAAATAGTGGGTCGGTCATGGGGATTAACCCATATTCAATTTGCATTTTGTCGAAAGTAGAGCCGAACAGTATATTCACCGAGCTGCCATTGTCGACGAGCATGCGCTTGAGTCCGTTTCTTACCACTACGTCTCTTACTACCAACGCGTCACAATGGGGGTGGTGAACTCCTTGTGCATTTTTTGGGAGAAGGTAATCGGGGCCATCCTGTTGGCTTCTTGGGACTGGTTGACGATGTAAGTGAGCATTGGTGGATCATTTGCTTCCCTTGTGTAGTTTC